GCCCATGAGAAAGAAGAAACAAAAGCGCTAGAAGACCTTATTGGGAAAAAGCTTAAATCGTTACTTGAAAAGCAAATAATAGAAGAGAACTTGGCTGCGTGTCTTAGGCCTGTAGGGTCGCATATTCCCAGACTAAATGGACTGCCAAAATTGCACAAACAACTGTGTGCCTGTCGATCCGCTAATCCCCGAGAATTCAGAAAATACCGTAACAACAGTCACCCTGAATTTGCAGTTAAAATCGGAGCGACCGTGATTCCTAATATCCTCCGTTCAGAAGTCGACGAACGGACGCAAGACAGTCTGTGCGACTTTTGACTGTGGCGGAAATCAGCTCTCCCTACTTCATCAAACCCTTAAACAATATCAACAGTCCACTCTCGTCTGTTTCGAGACTTTGCTCTTCCCTCTGAGTCCCTTCAACGGAGGTTCAAGTGATTGACGTAAGTGGTCTCTGTACGACATCGTCAAAACCTTTGGCGGTGATGCGAGACTGAGGTTCAAGTTGCGAGTATAGAAGTCATTTGCCACGACAGCTTTTCGTACAAATATGAAACACGACTCGTGCGCTGAGAATATATGTATATATGAGATCAGAACGTATTTGGCCGGTCGTGCCAACGTTCCATCCTCAGAATTCCTCTCACCGAGCGCGCCAGCTTAACTTGCTGATTGAGATACAGTAGATGTGCTAACTCATGAAATGTCAACCAAAATTTCGAAATGCGTTCTCGTTTCGAAAAGATAAATTAATTAGTGTTGTAAAACTAATCATGATGCAGCATAAATCTATGATGATCCAGTTACCTCAGGGTGTCGGCTTACGAAGGAACTTATTTTCGGCTACATGCAAGATCAATACTCTGCGAAAAATGACTACTTAAGTAGTATGCAATTTTCTCATTGATTTTCGATGCCCTTGAAAATTCAATTATATTTCATGGAAAGCATGCATAAAAGTATTCATTCTTTTACTTATTCGGTAGAAAATCACGTCTTCTTCTAATTTCATACTCAAAAGAAGAGTATAATTCGGTTTTAAAAAAGTTTCTAATTGTGAGATTTTTTAATACTGTTAACTGGCCGTTCATGAAACGTCATGTATCTGCATTTACGAATGTGGCTTGTAAAGTTAGCAATATTGCTCAAATCCACTGCTTAATTTTATGAATCTCATATGGTCTCCTCTTAACACCGTAGAGAAATGCATGGTTTTCCGTACACGGAAAATATACAGCTTGTAGTTTTGAAACCCTGAATGCGAGTGTAACAGCAGGTCGGGT